ACCAGCTGGGAAATCCAACCTCGTGGATGGACTTTCCATTGGTAGACAGCCTTTGTTGCTCTATCTGAACCACAGCCATAAGTCACTGTAATAAATCTCATATGTGTGCGCACACACAACACACACACATGCACGCACGCAAGCACGCACGCACACACGCGCATGCTTTCTGTCAGTTCTTTTCCTCCAGACAACCTTCTAGATAACTAATACGCAGATATAAGGGAAAATCCATCAGAATAACATTTGGTTTCTCAATAGAAACTTCAAAAATCAGAAGAGACTGAAGCAATGTACTCTAATTTCTAAAAAATAAAAACACCACAGTTTCCAACCCAGACTACTTAGTTACAGCATAAAGAAAAACTTTTTTATGAAAGACATATATATGCATAAACACACATCTATATGTTATATATATGTTAAGAGAATTTATGTCAACCAAACTAACCCTACAGAGAATACTGGAAGTAATACTGCAAACTGAAGAGAGGAATAAGCACAGCAAAGAGCCCACAGAAAGAAAACAAATGAAGCTAAATTACTGAAACACAAAGCTGGACATGAACACAAACAGAAAAATGAATGATAGTGACACCCACATACCGTTCTCAATAGTAGCTTTACATCTCCATCACCTCAACTCCTAAATCAAAAGACATGGATTCGTTGAAGGATTAGAAAGAACACCCATCTTTCTGTCACCTGTAAGAAACTCACCTTATTTTCAGAATAGGCAACACTTTCAACCGAACAGATGGAAAACACTATTCCCAGCAGGTGGGACCAGGAAGTCAGCAGACATTGCTATGATAATAGCTGACAAAAAAGACTCCAAATTAAAATTAATCTGAGGAGATAAATAAGGTCGTTTCATCCTGATCAAGGGAAAAATTAACCAAGAAGACATTACAATTCAAAATTCTGGCATACCCAGTTTCATTTAAAAAAAAAAAAAAATCAGACTTACTGGACCTCAAGACAAAAACTATTCCGAACTCAGTAGATGATTTCAACACCCCACTTTCTCCAAAAGACAGACCATCTGGGCAAAAATAAAGATGGGACAATCCACGTGGGAAAGATAAAGACATCACGGTATTGAGTCAGTTAAAAGTCTGAGTCCTTTATTCTGTCCGGCCACCGAGAATGGGCTCATGCCTCGGAGTCTCCTCCTGCTGAAGTTTAGGAGAACAGAGGTTTTAAAAGCAAAAACCACAAAGACCATAATTTACGTTAAAGTTATATGACAATCAGAGTGACCTTAAAGCATTCAATTTGACAGAATATAATAGTTATCTCAGACATAACATACCAACTGCTCTTGACTTACACTTTCTTCCATTATTTTAGTTTGTGTTAAATTTATTTCAATTGTTTTTGTTAGTACATCTGGACCGTGGTCAGGTCATGGAAATTTCAAATGTGTTGCCAACGCTGATGTGAGTGTCAGTATGGAGGCAGAGGGCTGAGAACTGTCTGAGCAAACACAGAAGGGAGTCAGGAAAAGATGGGTTACCTAGGTCACTTCACAGAAAAACATCAGAATTAAATGAAATCATATATCAAATGAGGGTCACAGATATCTACAGGATATTTCACTCAAACTCCAAAAAAAAAATAATAATAATTATACATTCTACTTAGCAGCCCATGGGAGTGTCTCTAAAATAGATCACGTACTGGGATACAAAATATACTGACATCACTCAGTGTACCTGATCTGACCACAATGCAATAAGGCTCGAAACCATCACCAAACGAATCCCTAGTAATTACACAAAATTGAACAACACATTACTTAATGATATTATTACAAGGTCAAAATAAGTTCATTCCTGTTTTCTGTTTTCCACACCTTATAACCTGACCATACCCTGACCTCCACCCCATAAG